CCCCCCCCCCCCCAATCAAAAATCAAATGGTCCGTCCCTTATTCGTTGTTAATACTTCCGCGTCCTGTCAATTTTATCAACTAACAAAATAATTGCTTTGCGTGCTTTGTAAATAGGATTAATTTAAAGCTTTCATCCACTTGCACATAAATACTGTAGGTTTTTTGCTGTATAGTCATAAGGCTAATTTATCTGATGCAAGAGTGCCACATCCTGTGATACGAAACTAATAGTAACAAGATGCCTGCTCAAGGCGTTCGCTCCGTCGGTAAAGGAGAAGGGCAGGGTGTAGGAAGTTGATGAGGCGTGGTATAGCACCTTATTATAACCTTGGCATTTTGGCAAAGAGTAACATAATACTGTACATACAAATCAGAAATGAAAGATACATCTCCAGTACTTTAATTATACTTGGTTCAGTCTACAGTATATATTATTAATTATATGATCGTATATACAGTTCTACTTTAAATGTATAAATAATACACACTTGCACATCTGGTTCCCTGAAGGCTTGGGATAAGTATCATTGTCAAATAATAAGGTGATATACAGCAGCTATTTCAATTAAGGTTGTCCACGAGCAAAGCGGAAAAGTCGAATACGAGCGCGAAAGGCTGCTGGGAAACGCTATGAAAATTCATTAATTTGTTAGCGATTCCAAGCAGCCTTTCGCGCTCGTATTCGACTTTTCCGCTTTGCTCGTGGATAAACCTTAATTGAAATAGCTGTATAGTATCTGGTGTTCCATCAAATTTCCACTGTGTTTTATGTCAGTATTGTATTCTGGGTTGAAAAATTTTTCTTTTAGGATAGAGAATGTTTCAAGAGAACTAGTAACAGTTTCCAATATTCTTCAGGGACATAACCATCAATCCATTATACATTAATAATTATAATTAATGAAGAGCATAGCCGTTGATAACCTCCTCATGATAACCAAATGAGCAAAATTTCACAGATGACATTACGTCCAACATTACCGAATCATCAATAGCACAGTATAAGGGGCCACGTCCATATTCATGTTGCCACAAATAACGTCGAATCGACGTTATTATTTCACCCACCCACCTCAGATAACGTCGATCGGATCGATATTCAGTCGTATTTTGACCGATAGACTCACAATTATTGTACTTTACAACCGTTATTGGCTGGGATTGTATTTTGATACAATATTTAAATAGTGATTTGGTTTTCGCCAGAGTGGCAATAAACAATACAACCAAGATATAGCCGTTCTCAAAATTAAAATGTCCATAATACATGTCATATTCTTGTTGGTAGAAGTTGGCAACCATTGTAAATTATAAAACAATCTTTTAATGGTGACCTTGTTTACATGATATGTCTACTGACAGTCTACGAAATTAGAAAAGTTATGCGCCTGTCCGTTGAACTCAGCCTTCAGCCTTCTGCATATAGCCTATATATTAAGCGTAAAAATTTGGAAGTATAGAAGAAACAGAATTGCATGTTAAAATCTTACCAGTTTTATATAAAAGCTTTCAACTGTCTTGGTGACCTATAAATAGCCTTAATTCAACCTGATTCGTTCTTTCGTTGTTGTTGCACCAACAAAATACATTAATTCATAAAGAGTAAGTCCAGAGTACAACACAACATGAAAAACACAGTATAATTCGGTGAAAATTTAGCGAAATTGCCAGAAATATTATTTGCCCACTCATCACGCAACCGCCATTTTGAAACTGAACTATATAGGTCACTGAAGCATATTTGCAAAATCACCCATAATATCCATAAAATACACCGATGTACCTGTGAAATGTTCATTTTGTGACATCCTAAAGACAGACAATTAGCATTTTAAAGCTCCCTCGGGCTACGCCCGACGGAGCAATAAAGATGCTTAGTGGAATTTGTTGAGTCGTTGCACTCATATATTTACGCATGGCTAATTCGCCCTAATTTTCGCAAACCGGGGTTGTCTATAACTTTTTGCCGAGGCAACTGAAGGCCAATCGTTTCTCAACTAGGCTTATTGAGTTCTCAGATCAAATGTGACCGGTATATACGTATAGGTCCGAGGTGGGATAAGCTTAGCACGAGATAACATAGTCGTGTAGGGCTTGGGTGGTTTCGTCCGAGTAGGCTCGAGTTTTGCGCTTATGTGCCACGAGGGATTGTATGAATATGATCGTCTATAGGGACAAGCTTTCACATTAGATCTTTAGCCATGAAGGGCTTAGGTGGCGACATCTGAATAGGCACCAGTTTAACGTTAGCACCCTCGCTGTCGTGGGCTTAGGTGGCAACGTTTGAGTAGGGACGAGTTTAAATTAATATTAGATACCTGGCTGTCGAGGGCTCATGCAGGTGGCCATGTCCGAGTAGGGACACGGTTACATTAACATTAGGTCCGAGCAGGGACAAGTTTAATTAATTTAACATTAGATACCTGGCTGTTGAGGGCTTAGGTGGTAATGTCCGAGTAGGGACCAGTTTAAATTAACATTCGGTCCGAGCAGGGACATGTTTAATTAATTTAACATTAGATACCTGACCGTCGAGAGCTTCGGTGCCACCGTCCACGTAGGGACAAGTTTGACATTAGATACCTAGCCGTGAAGGGCTTGGGTGGAAACGTCCGCGGAGGGACAAATTTGTGTATATATATATATATATATCTGACATGCGGGGTTTGGGTCAAGAAGGCCGCGTAGAGACAAGTCTACACCTTTACAATTCGCCAATTATGGTTTACATGGACAGGGCCGACACAGTTTTACAACTATATGCCGCGCGGGGCTCCGAGTTGACGTGTTCAACCATGAGTATGGTTCACCT